GGAAGGGGAGAGATCAGAGTTACAGGCTGGAATCTGAAAAGAATCCATATACAGATTGTGTTTAAAACTATAGGAAGAGATGTAGATAGAGACTAGGCTGGAGATCATCAGTGGATTGGAAAGGAAGAATCACTGAGATCAAAGGAGACAAGGGTATGTTTCCAGAAGCAGCACATACAACTATGTATAGTACACAGTACTTGACAGTGTGATAAATGACTGTTAGTGTTTTAGGTACTTATCATAACATACTGTGCTTTTCATTGTTTAGAGCATAATCCTACTTATATAAAAGATTTTACTGTAAAACAGTGTGCTGCTATGCCAGTGGTAACCTCATGTATCTTGTGTTTAACTACGTATTTTGATAATATCAAGGGGCCATCACAGATGATTGACCTGTACCTTTTCAGTTTGCACTTAGAAGATGGCACTCTGTGTGGTACTTTGCAATACACGGGGATGAAATTCCCTAATAACATATTTCTCAGATTATATTTCCATCACGTGTCACATAACTGTATTAAAATTTAAATAAAAAAAAAATTGGGCCTATGTGGAGTCTATACTAGCTAATTAGAATTTTTTCCCCAGACCACTATCTGTTCAATAGTAGTTCTGAAAATCTTTCTAAAACAAATTACATCTTCTGATGTCTTGTTAATGTTTGAGATTTTTAAAAAATTATATGGAAAAATGTTTAAGTACTTTTCAGTTTTGCTTTGGTTGTTTTATTAATTTGAATATTATAGGTTTTTTTCCCTTGCATTGTTTTTCTTTGAATAATTTTAATTTTTGTATATGTGTGTGCTTAGTGAATGATAATAAAGTTATACATTAAAAAAAAAAAGCCCATTTAAACAAGTAGTTTCACATGCGCTGTCTATAACAATACTCTGTAACATAGACCCGTATCTCCCACTATGTACTAAAATAAAATCAGAAATGGATCTAAGATCTAAATGTTGAAATAGAAACAATATGCTAGAAGATAAAATAGTTTTTGCAAACCTTTTGCAGACATATGTGCATGCAAAAACTTTCTCAACAGAACCCTAGTTGCACAAGAAGTAACATCAAGAATCAACAAATGTGGGCCGGGGATTAGCTCAGTGGTTCCACCGCCTGCTCCACAAGTGCAAGGACCCAAGTTCCATTTCAGGTACCAAAAAAAAACAAAAACAAAAAAACAAATGGGATCATATCATATTACAAAGCTTCTGCATAGCAAAAGAAACCAACAGAGTAAAGACACAATCTACAGAATGGGAAAAAAATTTTGGCAGCTATCCCTCAGACACAGGACTAATTATCTACAATATACAAGAACTAAAAAAAAGACATCATCCCCAAAATAAAATAAAAGACCTAATAAAAAAATAGGCAACTAAGGGCCGGGGATTTAGCTCAGTGGTGCGGCCGCCTGCCTTGCAAGCAAAAGGACCCGGGTTTGATCCCCAGTACTGTCCCCCCACCCCAAAAGGCAAGTAAAATGAACAAACATGTCTCTGAAGAAGTAGTAGTACAAATGGCCAATAAATAATATGAAAATATGATCAATATTACTGGCCATTAGAGAAATGCAAATTAAAATAACACTGAGATTCCACCTTACTCCAGAAAGAATAACTATCATCAAGAATGCAAACCTTCAAGGAAAAAGGAACCCTTTTACATTGCTGGTGGGAATGTAAGCTAGTACCACCACTATGTAAATCAGTATGGAAATTCCTCAAAAAACTAAAAATGGAAATTTCATTTGACCCAGCTATTCCCCTTCCAGGTATCTCTCAAAAAGAGCTAAAGACATCATATGAGAGTGATACATACATACTCAATAGGGTAAGTCTTGGGAAGTGGGCTATGTGGTATTTATACACAATGAATACCACTCTGTCATAAGGAAAAATAGATGCACTTTGAGGCCATGTTAAGTGAAATAAATATTGCATGTTTTCTCTTATATGAGAAACTGAAATTATAAAAAGCAAAATAAAACATAGTAGGATATAGGGAGATAGATCTTTTGCAAAAGGGAAGGAGACCAAGAGATAGAAGAGGGAAGGAGTGGAGGAAGGAAATGAAAAAAGAATTAAGATGTGTTATATACATGTGCCAATTTCCCACAAGGAATGCAGTCATTATGTACTGTAAAGATACGCCAATAAAAATAAAAATTTATCAAAAAAGTCAAGTTTTCATAGGAATTAGGCTTACCTTTGCTTAATTTTAGTAAATCATCAGCTTACTTTTCAAGATAACCATTACCTTACTTTTAAAAATATTTCATTATGGGCCGGGGATTTAGCTCAGTGGTTTGTTTCACCACCTGTTGCACAAGCGCAAGTACCCGAGTTCAATCCCCGGTACCAAAAAAAAAAAAAAATTTAATTATAAAAAACAAAAACCGGGCTAGGGATTTAGCTCAGTGGTTCCGCTGCCTGCCTTGCAAGTGAAAGGATCTGAGTTCCATCCCTGGTACCAAAAATAAATAAATAAATAAATAAATAAATAAATAAATACTAACTACTCTAGAAATATAAGAAAAGTGTTATTATTTTAATGAACACAGAATCCTTGAAATCAGTGGCTACAAGTTGTGAAAGAACTAAGATGTACAGTGGACCCTTGACTTATGAACTCAATTTATTTCTGAGGGCTGATTCTAACTCAAGTTTTTCAATTACCTTTAAAGTCTCTCTCCTGTATAATTTTAGGCCACAGTTTGTTCCATGCTGATCTCAGTGTCATGAGAGAGACATCGGCCCAGGATTTCTCAATTAACTCCACACAGGAAAGGATGCTGTATTGTTCCTTCCAGAACTCTTAAAGGGTTAAATGTATATCTGAGACCATCTGGAAGCACAATTGGCTCACATTCGTGTCGTAAGTGACTTTGGTCATAAGTTAAAAGTAAAATTCCAGTTGCAATCCAAGTTGTTCATATGTCAGACTGATTGTAACTCGAGGGTCTATTGTATAATCTTTGTAATAAAGGGTTAGGGGCCGGGGATTTAGCTCAGTGGTTTCGCCGTCTGCTGCGCAAGCGCAAGGACCCAAGTTCGATCCCCGGTACCAAAAAAAAAAAGTAGGTTAAAATTTCAAGTACTTACTCATTCTCAATTTCTTGCTTAATTTCTTGCCATTCTCCATATGGGTTTGATTTTTTCAAAGTTTTGGATTTTTCTTCATTTAGACCTGATGAATTCTGTTTTTGGACACTTTTTTCTTTCTGTATTTTTGGGACAGTTCCTTCATTGCTATTTTTATTTTTTTCCTGAAATATAAAAGTCAAGAAATAATACACTTCAAGCAAAAGTTCCAGGACAGGGCTGGGGATTTAGCTCAGTGGTTTTGCCACCTGCTGCGCAAGCACAAGGACCCAAGTTCGATCTCCGGTACCAAAAAACAAAACAAAACAAAACACAAAAAATGTTCCCGGACAAAAACAAAATTTCTTTTAAAAGTCTTGTTACAGATTAAAAAAAAGTATTAACTTAGTACTGTAGTTTCAATTTGTACATAATAATGTACATTAGAAGAACTTCAATGCTTGATTAGGTTTATGTCTAAAATATTAATACACTACATCCAATGCTGTGTATTTTAAAGCAATATAACAAGATCCTATTAATGTTATGAGTTGCATAATTAAGGGCATGTAAATACATAGGCTATTTTTCTGTTTTCTTACCCAAATTACATATCCAACAGTGACTTCTATTTATATTGCATCTCTTTTGAATTTGATGTCATATCATCAGACCCTTCAACAGCTATTAGCTATTTAAGGAGCTCTTGAAACTGTTAGTCTTAATGAAACCCACTTTCATTTTGAGGACACTGCCAAAGCCTCACTGGCCTACACTACTAGCATCTTTGCGCAAATTAGACATTCCCTGTGACAGAAGCAACTCCATAGAAGTCCCAGAGTAGGGCAAGTACTTTATGGCATCTGTTCATCTAGAATAACAAAGCCTTGTAACCCAGATTAGGACCACAAACTAGATTTAAGTCTCTCTGAAAACTGTACAATAATAAGCAGTTGCCTGGGATAGTTTCCTTTGCAATTCTTTGTTTTTTGGTTTTTTTTCCCTCTTGGTACTGGGGATCAAACTCATGATCTTGTGCTTGTCAGGCAGGTGTTAAGCCACTGAGATAAATCCCCGGCCCTCCTTTGCAATTCTTTGAATGGATGTTAGCTCAGCCCTTCATGAGGCTGGTATCACAGAACTAGGGGGTAGTGTCTGCTTTGTTTTAGCAATCTTGATTGCTTCCAGGACATGACTTTCTTAATAAAACATTTTTACTGAGGTACAAGTTCACGATACTTTGATTCTGACCCTTTATGCATTAAAGATCTCCTCTGACAATCATACCACTTTCTGTACTGTTCTCCTTTCTTCCTTGTATGAGCAATGACCTCGGGCCACTACTCTATACTCACTGATAATTTTGGCAACACTGGTACAATTTTTTTCCCTATTCAAACTCCTGCTATCATCACAGGAAGCTTAAAAATTACCTGGCCTCAGTTTTGTGAGCCTCAAAACCAATAATTTTGGCCTTCATTATGCTTTAGTCATCTAGTATAAGTTCTTCTCATATACAGCACCTGGCATGTAGACAGCAGTACAATATTAAATCCTTACACCTATATTCCTTTTAATTTGAACTAGTTTAGCACTTGAAATGCCCTACCCATGAAATCTTAAAAGCCAAAGTCCTCCGAGTATAGTAGTTCTTAACTCTTTTGGCTTTCTGACTCCCCTACTTCTATACCTCTTATCCAACCCCATTACCATCTGTAATACTTTTCATTTCTCCTTGTGTTCTGAGTTTGCTGGTCTCCTCTAGACACATCCTTCTTTTTTTTTTTTTTTTTTTTGGTACTGGGCTCAAACTTGGGTCCTTATGCTTGCGGAGCAGGTGGCAGAACAGCTGAGCTAAATCCCCAGCCCTAGACACATCCTTCTAAAAGGAATCACCTTTAAGGATTCCTTTGCTAACATCCCAAAGAGTATTTGTCCAACGGCTGTCTGTTGTGTAGGGCCAAAACACTTCCAAACACAGATCTATCCAATCGTTTGTCTGTTTACTCTCAAGCTTAATCTGTCAAGTGTGTAAAAAGGAAAAAAACAGACGTTCAAACTTAAGAAATCTAAAATGAAATTAGTAACATTTCTCAAACAGGTATCAGTAAACAGTTAAATCATTTATCCAGCTGCCAAAATATAACAGGCCCATCTTATCTTTGAGGATGTGTGAAATTCCCAGTTGATGCCTGAAACCAGATAGTACTGAACCCTATAAGATACTATATTTTTACTATACACACATCCCTGTGATAAAGCTCAATTTAAAAATCAGGCATATGCCAGGGATTTAGCTCAGTGATTCTGCTGCCTGCCCTGCAAGCTCAATGACCTGAGTTTGATTCCCAGAACAATAAAAAAAATAATAAAATAAAATAAAAAGGCATAGATAGAGATTTAGCCTAGTGGTGTTGCTGCCTGCCTTGAAAGCACAAGGTCCCGAGCTCAATTCCCAGTTCCAAAAAAAAAAAAAAAGATATAGTAAGACATTAACAATATTAATAAAACAGAAAAATTATATCTAAGAGATTTCATCATACTACTAAGAAAAGCATATAAAACTTATGATTATTTTTGGAATTTTCCATTTCATATTTTCATACCTTGGTTGACCATGGGTAATTAAATCCATGAAAAGCAAAATCAAGGCTGGGGGAGGGGACCTTCAAACATGTCCTGGCTTTATTTCCTATACTAGAAGACCAAAGGTCTATGGAATTTTCTTATAAATTGATAAATTTTTATGACGAGTAAATCAAGAACCTACCTTAAAATTTATTTTTGGCTGTTTTGTTTCTGTAGAGACTTCTCCTTTTGCTTCCTTTTGTTCTCTATCAGATTCACTATCTGATGATTCAGATTCTTCTAGGGTGCCAAGTGACTTTTCATCGGCCTTATTAGAAAGCATATTGCCAGTATGTGGAATGAAATCATCAGGTTTTTCCCATTTGGATTCTGCTCAACACATTTTTTAACAGTCATGTTATTTACTTCCCAACTCTTAACACTTTTAATCATTTACAATCATTAACCCTTAGGAGGTCACTGATATGAGAGATACAGGTTTTTCCCATTTGGATCCTGCTCAACACATTTTAATAGTCACACTATTTACTTACCAATTCTAATACCTTTTTTTGGTGTGTGTTTTTTGAGACTGGATCTCACCATGTAGTTTAGGTTGGCCTTGAACTCATACTGATTCTTTTCCCTCAGCCTCCTGAGTGCTAGGAATACAGACAAGTGCCACCATGCCTGACTTAATTCAAACATTTTGTGTCATTTACAATTATTAACCCTTAGTATATCATTGATCTGAGAGATACAAACACTTTTTGTTACATCTATTGGGGGCACAGATTCACGGTTATGACTAGCTATGTATTTGTACATCATTGATGTTCAGATTATCAGTTTGGCCAGTTTTTATTTTTATTTTTTTTGCATACTAGTAATGAGCGTTTCTTTCATATGTGCATAACCTACACTATAACATTTTTTACTGTGACCTCTGTAATACTGTATTCACTTCACACTAATACTTGATCAAAAAGATAAATAATGGTTCTCAAACCTCTGACTCTTGTATCTTTCAAAATTGATTTCAATTTAAAAACCCAGATTTACTAGCTGTATAAACTACAACGCCTACTGAAAGAGATGTGAGAACTGGGTGATATGATATTTTAAGGACTCTCACCATTTATCTGACAATAATTTCAGGAAACAATGAAAATGATGAGATTTTCTACACTTTACTATCACAAAGATTTTTCTGGGATTTTCACAAAGTGAAATGATATCGTGAAGATCTGAACGAATATAATTTTCTCATTTTTATTGGGGGAAATAAACTTCAATTGAACTCTACTGCCATCTAGTGGTTCACAACGCTTTTAGTAAAATGAAAGCATGTCTAATTGTCTTGTATACAATCTCTATTTTTAACTTAATAAAAGGGAGACTAAACAATTTAATGTCCACATGAGATGGTTTTAAGAGTAAAAGGAATTGCTATTAATAACTATACTGCTCTGGCATACGCCAAAATCATTCAGTATTACAGCCCCTTAATACATGTAGATGCTAATGAAAAATACTTTTATCTAAATTTCACCCAAGTATCAAAAAGAATTTTCAAGACACAAATAATTTGTTAAATACAATGTACCAGATACTGTTTTGGTAAATTTATGGATATGTGTCTTGTCCACAATCACATCACTGGTTAAGAGAAATTGTGTATCGAACTTAGTTCTAATTCTAAAGCCATACTGTTACTATATTAAAGATTCAGTGTTTAAATGTACTGAAAGAGAAATCCTGCTATGTTTAATGCTACGAGAGGGTTTTGTACAGTGAAAATTAAAAAAAACCCTCCCCAAGTAGTATCAATATTATAGGTCATCTAGCAAATTTAATGGCAGTAGGAAACCAAAGTAAAAATTTTTAAAAACTTTTGTGAAATTAGATAAAATTTTTAATTTGAAAAATTTAGTAACAATGCATGTTTCATAAATATTTATGTACCTGAAACATTAAATTAGTCAAAGTGGAAATATGACAATTTTAGCCACTGCTAAAATAGCTTCAGTTTTGTTTTTTAAAAAAGGAAAAAGAAAGTTGAGGCTTTGCAGGGTATAGCTCAGTGGTAAAACAAGCATGAGGCTTTGGGTTTAATTTCCAGAATGACAACAAAAAAAGTTGAACTAGGTGATCTATGAAGTACCCGCCAAGAAAATTATATTTATAAAACAATCAAAATAAAAACAGTAATTGCTTAAAATGATTCTCTCAAATTTGCATGTGCTATATGAATTCTGTACGCTACAAAGTATGATAAATTTTTTTGCTTTTCTACTGCATTAATGTTTTAACTTAAAAAAATAATATATGCTTGCTATGGAATTGTTTATGTAATGCTAAAATTCTCACAATCAGATGATTCACCAACAGAATAAGCAATTTCATGGATAATTTAGATAGTTAAGATAATCAAAGATAACACTTACCTCCTGTTTCTGTATTATAATAATAGTTATAACCATCTTCACTTAAACCTTCTACCCAAATGGCCTTCGTCTAATAGGAGGAAAAAAAGCAGAATAAACTGAAGATAACGATTATATGTTGAATAACTAAGCCACCCATTCCTTTCCACCTGACATCTGGAAGTTGGGGATGGTGATATCAATCTTGGCTAGGAAACCTGGTTTGTGATAATCACGTGCCAACATTCAAGTAGAGAATGTTTCACTTTTAAAAGCCAGGAATCCCTTGCAGATGGTCAGCGACATCAGGATGGCAACTGACTATAAACCAACTAATATTCACATGGATGGGGTTTTTGAACAGATATCACTGTTTTATCTCCACCCGGTCCTCTAACAAAAGGATTACAGGAAGAAAGGATGGGGAAGGGAGAGGGCTTACTTGGAAGTAAATCTGGTTACATAAATCCCAGAAGCCAATCACTTTAAAAAATAAAGCTAAAACACTACCAATATACTTCAGTTACCTTTTTTAAGTTTCCTTGAAATCCTTCAGGTTTCTCCCACTGAGATGCTTAAAGCAAAATACATTGCATTTATAAAAATATTTTTGCTTAAAAAAAAGTCCAAAATATTTAATTTAGCAAAAAATTATAGAAATTCCAGTTTAACACATAACTGAAAAAAGAAAAACAAACAACATATATCTCAGCAGTATTGTCCAGGTGAATGCTATAGAACCAAGAAGTAAAAGAACAAAGGATAAGAAGTTACTGGAACTTCTAAGGAATTATTAGAGCAAGGCAGGGCTTCTCTCAATGAGTTCACTGGAATGTAAGCCTGTTAAATTTTGAGGGAAAGGAATGGCTTTTTTGTTATCTTGGGGCAGGGGAGAGGGAGAGATGGAATAAGAATGACTTAGAAGAGGAACAAGATAAAGTATGAAGGAATTAAAAACATGTATTACTGAAGGTAAGAGTATATAAATAGGATGGTGAAGGAAACACTGGAAGGGAAAAAAGAAATTAGTTTCTAAGTATATTTGAGAAAGACTTCTTATCCCTAGTACCTATTTATGGTATCTTCATTGCTGAACTACAATACCCATTTCACTTAAGGATCAGTTCAAATTCTGAGAAATCACTATTTCTATGTAGTCCAAAACCGACTGATTCTAAAGAGCATAATAATTAAATTGTCATCTCAAGCTTTTTACATGATTTTCTCATCTAATTTCCTATCTTCTTTTTGAGATGATCTTGCTAAGTATCCTAGGTTGGCCTCAAATCCACAATCCACCTGCCTCAGTCTCCAGAGTGCTAGGACTACAGGTGTGGGCCACCATGTCCAACTTCACATCCTATTTTCTTGACCATTTTTTGCTGGTTTTTCTATCCATTTCTTTAATATATGTACTACCCACTCTATTTCTTGCTCTAGTCTCTGTAATCTTATATATTTATCAAGGTTAACAATATTATCTGTAACCCACTCTATTTAGCATTTCTAACTCATTCTATCAATTAGCTACTGAAAATTGCCATGTTCTATAGGTACCTCAAACTCAACACATACAAAATTGAATTCATTATTGTCCTGCTTAAACTTATTTGTTTCCTTTATCTCATATCCCAGTAAATCATACCACTGTTCTCTCAGCTTCCCATAATATGGCCCCAATCTATTTTTCCAGTCTCATACTTTTACACTGACATCTTGAAAGAACCTTATGTTTTATCCCCACTAGTTAATTTTCTAGGCTTTAAACTTTCAAATCTATTTCATTTTCTGGCTCATACTGTTTTGTCTAAACTACTTTATCCTATTAATCTGAAATCTTATTTAATCAAAATACATACAGAATGTTTGTACTGTGCTGGGCACTGTATTAGATGCTAGGCATACAAATGATTAAATACTGATCTTGGCTTTTTTTTGAACCTAAGGAACAGCACTCCCCTACTTTTAAAACTTTTTTAAAATTTTGAGACAGAGTGTGTTACTAATAAAGTTGCCCAGGCTGGCCCTGAAGCTGTGCTCCTATCTCAGCCTCCAGAGTAGGTGGGATTACAGGTGTGCATCACTATGCCTGTTAAGACAGCATTCTGAGAGATCAGCTCAAAACCAATCTGTGATAATCTCTCAAATTCACGTAACTACCATTTTTCATTTTCAGCTACCATATTAGACTTCTATATAGCACTTTAAAATTCCTCCTTGTAACAAGCTTATTATTTCTGCCACTAAATTTTATGTTTCTGGAGAGTAAGATAAATGCATTTATTTTCCATAAACTTTATATTATATGGAATAAAAATTCCAAATATATTTAGTTTATAAGGAAAATAAAAAGATATTTTTGATATCCCTACTGAAAAACATCATTGTGTATCTAACTGAAACTAGTATCTGACAATTTAATGGAGAAATTTACTACGTCAATCAAGACAACTACACATAAAAGAAATCAGTTTCTTGCTCACAGTCTTACACATAAAGTGGATTTGAAAAGCCTTATTTCAATGAAAATGCTTTATTTCCATTAGTTCACACTTTCAGAAGGTATTATTGAAAAACATAAAGCTATAATTTGGAAGGAATTCATTATTAAGATTCTAAGCATGAAATTGAGCAACAATGAGAAGGGTACTTTTTGAAGGGCACATACTTTTCTTCTAAACTTTTGGTAAAAATGAAAAGTTACAGTCTTTCATTGTTTAAAGTGCTTCAATATTAAATAAAAATCCTAAACAAAAACTGTTCTGTTCCACTAATGGAACTATTCTCTACTAATTCTGTGCTTAAATGACTTACCTCCTGTGATAAGATCGTAATAATAATGGTAACCCTCAGAGGTTATGCCTTCTACCCATCTACCCTTTGAAGAATCTTTTTTCTTCTTCTTTTTCTTCTTTTCTTTCTGTTGATTTGATGCCGAGGGAGGTGGAGTAATGCTGGGTACTAGTGACATGCTTGCCTCTGAAATTTCTAGAAAAAAGATGAAAGAAGGGTAAAGAAGCTGAAGTAACTTTTTTACTGTCAAAATACTTTAATAATATTTAATAATAGTTTTAATAATGTTACTTTAATCAAAAGGCTGGTAAGATTCTTTTGGTGACTTCACACATTGTTATAAAACTTATCCTGAAACTAGTAAATAAACCAGGGTGTAGTGGTGCATGCCTTTACATGCCTTCCAGCACTCTGGGAGGCTGAGGCAGGACTGCAGGTTCAAGCCCAATTTGCCCAACTTAGTGAGACTTTGTCTCAAAATTAAAAATTTAAAAAAGGGCTGGGGATGTAGCTCAGTGCCAAGGCCCTCTGTGCAATCTTTAGTGTGTGTGTGGGTGCACAAAGTAAAAGAACGCTAAATTTGGCTACATAAAAATTAAGATCTTCCTGTATGGCAAAAACAAAAAATTTTTTAAAAGCTCTTTTCTTTGTACCGTATTTTAAATATACATATGAAAAATATTTACAATGAATATGAGGGTTAACAGGTTAACATTTCTAACAAAGATTTCTTACAAATCAAACCATTCTAACAGAAAAAGGGAAAAAAGTATAGTGATACTTTGGCTCACAAACAATTCTTTCCACGATTCTGGTCACAAACTGAATTGGAGGAGAACTGAATCAAATTCAATGGTTAGGTTCAATGTTGACCTTATAGGAAAATTTGATTCGGTTTTCATCCAATTCGGTTTGTGACCAGAATTATGGAAAAAATTGTTTGTGAACTGAGGTACCACTGTACAAAGTAAACTCAGAGAATGAATGTTTACTTTCACTGCAAAAGAAAGGCAAATAAAAATAATTTTTTATAGATCAATGAGTTCTGAAAGGAATGATCAAATCCAATGTGTCTGACATATCAGGTATTTACATGGATGTACTGTATTTCCAACACTAGTTAATAATTTTTTTTTCCCAGTGAAAGTATAAATCAGTCCAAAATTTCTGGAGTTTAGTATTACCTGTAATACATAAGATGTATTCACACTTCTATACTACTACAATCTCACTTCTGAAACTGAACCCACACAGAAAATAAATGTAAAAAGATGCCTGTACCATGAGATATACTGCAGTATTCCTTGTAATAGTGAAAATCTAAGCAATTTAACTGTTCACTAGGAAAAAATTAAATCATGGTATACTACCTTTATGTAACTTATTACATGTGGTCACTGTAATAAGCAATTTGTACCATGTTTCTTTTTTTTTTTTTCCCTTTGGTACCGGGGATCGAACTCGGGTCCTTGCACGTGCAAGGCAGGCGCCGGAACCAGTGAGCTAAATCCCCAGCCCACCATAATGTTATTTTAGTAAAAATCCAAGGTAACTAATGAGAGGCAATTCTGTTTGATTCCACAGTCTGAGCTCCTAACTACTCCACAGCTACTAAAAATACTATGCTATGTATTATTTAAAAAATGTAGGGGCAGGGGATTTAGCTCAGTGGCGCTGTTGCCTGCCTTGCAAGCGCAAGGTCCTGAGCTTGTTCCCCGGTACCACAAAAAATAAATAAATAAATAAAAAAGATGTATTTAACTATCATTGAGGAAGACACCTCCAAACAGACCACAGCACAAAATGTATAATTAAAAAAAATTCTAAAGATATCTGCAGAAATCTTAACAGCACCTAGTATATATATTTTTTGGTACTGGGGATCAAACTCAGGTCCTCGTGCACCTAGTAAATTTGTAAAAGCTCTTTCTTTGTATTGCACTGCTGTACTTTTAATCCATATAATAGATAAAAGATGAATTTTTAACTACTTCTAATTTCCCAGGAACATCTACATTTTTCTTCCTCTCAAAATGCTTTGTTTTCATGGAACCACACATCTCTATTCCCTTCCTTAACTACCAATATAGTATTAGTAATAATATTAAAATAGTATTTTAAAAGTCTGAATACAAAAAGCCAGGTACTGTGGTACATGTCTGTAATCACAGCTACACAGAAGGCTGAGGTAAGAGATCATTAAATTTTTTTTCCCCCCATTAACTTTATTGGTACATTTTAGGTATAAAATACAGTTACATTCATCATTGGGATCTTGTACCACTACATGAGTCTCTTGGTTATTTTTTTCCCCTTCCCTTGCCCTCCCTTCACCCCCTCCACCCTTCCCTATTTGCAAAGACTTTGTTCCCATTTTTTTTCCT